ACGCTGCTGCTGCATCCCAGTGACTCGTTTAAATCAGGAGCTGCAGGGTGTGGACTGAACAGATCTGTGGTCTGACTGAGGGTTTACGTCACCGGTCTGATGGTTCCTACCAGTCCCTACAGCGCTGAGGACGACTACGGTTCAGTTCTGGTGTTTTTGAACCCAAACCCTGAACCTGACCAGGTGGTTTTATAACAGCAACTGGAAATGATTAAAAACACTAATACTGATCTGAGACTGGAAACAGTGACTGGAAACTATTAAAAACACAAACGAGAAAAACTTAGAACGGACAAAGAAGGAACAGCGACTGAAAACAGCAACTGGAAATGATTAAAGACGTCGACTAACGAAGGTCTGTGACTGAAAACAGCAGAAAACAAGAACTAAAAACGACTGAAAACAACTGGACACCATTGAAACGATGACTGGAAACAACAGAAACTGAGAACAGTGACTGAAAACTATTTAAAATATCATCTTAAAATGACTTCAACCACCAGCAGGAAACAGCGACTAAAGGTGGCAGCAATTAAAACCAGAAAACGGCGCCTAAAAACTACCGAAAACTGCAGCTGAAAATAACTGAAAACAGTGACTGAAAACGACACAAGACGAAGACTGAGGACGATTTAAAAGCAGCGACTGAAAACAAACTGAAAGAGCTGCTGAGGAACGTCTGAGCCGCTGGTTTAAGAAACACAACTGTGTGGGTTTGGTGCCTAAAGTAAAGCAGAGAGTGACTAAAAACGGCAGGAAGCAGTGAGTTAAAAACGCTATAAAGCAGCGCAGCTCACAGCTTCAGCTGCTGAGCATCGTTCCTCTGTGGGTTGGGTTGTGTTGTGTTGCGTTGCATTGGGTTGTGTTGCTTTGTTTGATGTGTTGCGTTGTGTTGTGTTGCATTGGGTTGGGTTGCGCTGTGTTGCTTTGTGTGATGTGTTGTGTTGGGTTGTGTTGTTGCGTTGTGTTGCTTTGTGTGTTGCGTTGTGTTGAGTTGTGGTGGGGTGTGTTGTGTTGCATTGGGTTGGGTTGTGTTGCTTTGTGTGATGTGTTGTGTTG